GGGTGCACGGGAGCCGCCCAGCAAACACTCTCCGTGGGGCAAGAGCCATGTGGCTGTGTCCAGTGACCTCGTGGGGGAAAGTGCTGGCCCTCCAGAGGGGACAGTGTGGGGGCCCCATGGGGCCAGGCACAGCCTGGCATGAGTGATGATGAGGGATGGAGGACATCCCCTTGCTCATGGGGACAAAACCTCACAGCGCAGCTGGACCAGACAGACCCCAGGGGGGGAGCCAGGATCTGGCCCTTCCTTGCCCACCACTTTCCATGCACTTCGGCTGGGCAGCAGGGACACGGCGCTCCCAAGCCAGGTCCTGACAGGACTGAGCCCTTCCCCAGGCTGTGTGCCCCTGAAGGTGCAGGGCTGGACCCAACTGCCCCATGTGAGACCTGGGGTGGCCCCAGAAGCTGTTAAACCCAGCAGAGCCCAAGTGATGGACCAGCGCTGCTGAGGTGTGAGAGCCCAGCGCTACGTACACCCCGGCACTGCGTACACCCCGGTGCTACGTACACCCTGGCACTACCTATACCCTGGTGCTGCATACACTGCAGCCACAGCCAGGAAACAACTGTGACGCCAGAGGGGGGAAAGTCCAGGGCAGCCGACACAGGGCGAGAGATGGGGTCAAGGGCAGCAGCTAGAGAAATCTGCGGCAGGGTCCCGAAATGGCCCCTCGGCGGGGCTGTGTGACCCAGGGACAGGGACAGGGCTCCCTGTCCACAGCCTCACACGTGCCATGGGCTGGGGGCACCCATGCTGCAGGACATGCCGTGGCTGGGACACGGCCCCACAGCCCCACTGGCCCTTGGCACAGCCCTGCCACCGGCCCTGGCCTTGGTTAACCATTAAGACGTTGCTCAAGGTGCCCACCGACCTGGCGTCTCGGCACCCTGCTCCCCATGCCAGCACCACCTGGGTTTGCCCAACGCCTCCATACGTCTCCGTGGCCCCTCTCCCACGTGGTGCCTGTGGCCCACTTGTGTGGAGGCCACGCGTGGCCAAGCCACTGCCGCCACATCGTATTTGCTGGCTTTTCCTGGCCGGCTGGTGCCCTCTCCTGGGGAGTGGTGCTGGAGGCACAGCCCCGCGGCCCCGCAGCACCCCGGCACCCTGTCCCTCGCGGGGGGCCTGCTGGGATGCAGGGGGCACTGGTGGGGTGGTGGTGCCAGCAGGCATGTCCCCCCGCTCCTGGCCCTCCAAGGGAGCCAGCCGGCAAGACTTGAATCTGGTCCCTGCCTGTGTCCTGAGGAAGGGCCCCTAGGGCTGGCGGGGACCCCAAAGCTGGCAGGGCCAGGGGGATGGCTGCCCGGGGGACATGGGCTGTGGTGGCTGATGAAGCACTGGAACGGAGTCTGGGGGTTATGGGGACACGGCAACCCACTGCTGACCCCATTCACACAGGGGGTCCTGGATGGGCTCTGCCTGGTGGCAGGTGTGGGGGGCCACAGGGGATGGCTGGCCAAGGGGCCGTGGGTGCAGGATGAAGAGTGTTGGAGGGGGTGGTCCCTGCAGAGGGTGTGGGTCTGGGGGAGAGGGCAGGGGCAGCACTGGGGCTGGGGTATCAAGCAGAGAAAGGAACTAGGGGGATCAAAGGGGACTGGTGTTATTAGGGTCGGGATAGGTGGTAGCAAAGGAGAGGCAACGGTGAGGGAGATTGGGGTATTAGGTTGGGATGGTGGGTGTTAAAGCGGGGGTTGGGTGATAGTGGGGTCAAGGGGGATCGAGGGTGACAAGGGTGTCCCAGTGAAGGACTGGGAAGTCATAGAAGATTAGAGAGCAAGTGAGGGTGTTGTGGGGCTGGAAGGGTACCTGGGGGCCTCATGGGGCTCTGTGGGTGACAAGGGGGATTGGAGGTGTCAGGTTGGATGGAGGCATCCAAGGAAGACAAGGGTGGTAGGGGATGACAAGGAGGACTGGAGGTAACTGGGGTATCAGGATGAATGGTTAGGAGTGCCTTGGGGGATCTTGGCTAAATGGGGGTCTTTTGGGATGACTGGGAAATTGGGGGAAGGATTGGGGAGGTCAGGGAGGGATCAGGGATGGTGCCTGGGGGACTGAAGGGTGGG